ATTTCTGGCCGCATGACGATCGTGCGTTTTGTTCGACTGCAGGGACAGAGAAGAATGGGTGGATGTGAGTTGGTACGCACTAGAAATGAACCCTCTCCATGAAGGAGACAACTCGTCTTCGTCCTCTCTAGACTCCTCAGTCCCATACGAACGGCCGGCCTCATGAGGAGAAACGGACGAAGCCGAGTGTTGAGCCAGCTTTTAAATAAACAAAGAAATAAAAATGCAAGGAAAAGAAAACAGGCGGCCTACCTCTGTACGTGTTGAAAACTTGGAAGCTCTTGAAGATTCAAAGGAAAACATACTTTCTCTCTCTAGAAGCTCTGACTTCTCTCTAGAAAATGTAAAGTTCCAAAGTGTCAAAATGAAGTCAAAACCCTTGTATATATAGGGAAAATTTATGAGGGTAAGAGAGTAAATTCATCTTTCCCGCCTAACACAGCTGAACGGTTACAATTTGAAAATGTGACCTAGAATTTGGAGGGACAAGGAGCAACTCCGTTAAATTAAGCGGAAAAGAGGATGACCTAATAAACGGCGCGTCCAAAGGGAAGTTGGCAGAGCTAAAGCTCTCTCCGCAGTGGCAAGACGGCCGCATCTCCCAAAAGAAAGACGGTCTATCTTCGTCCAGGGAAGTTGGCAGAGCTAAAGCCCTCTCCACGATGGCAAGACGGCCGCATCTCCCAAAACAAAGACGGCCTATCTCCGTCCGTGCCATTTGTATAGACAGGTGTTCACTCTAAAATTGTCAGGCGGACGGAAAACTGACAAAACCATAATACACTTGTACGCACCAAGGCTATTTGAGGTCAGAGGAGTCGGCCTGTAAGCGTACGAGTCACTCCCTCTGAGGGGCAAATGTTGTGGGTAAAAATACCCCGTATACGTGGACAAATCCCATAGTGACACGTGGCCCAGTTATAGGGTGACACGTGTCACCACGAGAAGATGCCACGTAATTCAGAGCCCTTAAGGCCGCAGGCCAGTCTCGTCGCGACACGTGGCCCAGTCATAGGGTGACACGTGTCGTCATGAGAAGATGTCATGTGTTAAGGGCATTTGTTCCCTTAATAATCAACATGCCAGAAAACCCTAACAACATCAGGGCCCAAATCCCGAGAGATATCAATGAAAGCCGCAAAGCGGCGCCCCCAGAGTAGCACGTGGCATTCACTGATTGCGCAGCCAATCACGTCACGCAAATCTAGGGTATAAACCCTACAGAGGGGCACGAGTCCCACCCCTATAAATACCCCAATCATTTATGATGGGAGGGGGATGAAGACATTGACAAACAACAGAGCATTAAATAGCTCCACCTTCTCTCTACTTTTTCTCTCTAGCCTTTTCCGTTCTGATCACTGACTTGATCGTCGGAGGCGAATATTCCGTTGATCGGAATATTCATTGTTTTGCAGGTTGGACCGTCTCGTTGCCTAAAGAGCGTGACCAGTATCCCAAGAAATCCAAAAAACACCCGAAACAATAACGATAACAAAATTCTAATCATAATAAAATAATCATCATCAAAATAATAATAATCATAAATTATAACAATTATAATCATAATCATGTTCATGTTAATATTAAAGCATAATAAAAATAACAAGATCCTAGGCATGATACTAACAAGATTAATAACAAACCCTAGCATGTCACTAAGCAATAAAAATCAAATATTTAGCCCTAACATGATACTAACAATCATAAATATTAGGAATAAAATAGGAAGCATCGTAACAATCATATTTAATATTAAAATTACCCTAGACATGATACTAGGAATATCATAATAACAATCTAAACATGATTTCTACATCATAATATCAATTAAAAACCATTAAAGCACTTACTTTGATGATTTGTACCTCTTTCTAATAACAAAATACACACGTTAGTAACTTCAAGGAAAATAATAATTAAAACAATTAAATTAAATAATTGAAATAGAGATTTGGGACCAAACCCTCAGAAATTAAACCTTTCACGTCTAGGGCGAAGGAAACTTCGAATATGGCTAGGTGTATCTAAATCTTGCGAATGCGGAATTTTGTATTTGAGAAAAGGCTAGTTTAGAAAAAGAGAGAGAGAGAATAATCAAGAAAATCTTGATGAGAGTTCGTGAATGAAAACGGATTTTTTACGACGTTATTTATAGAGAAAATCAGCCAAAAAGATAAAATATCAAAACAGAGCACTTGGCGCACGTAAAACAAGATTGGCGCACCTAAAACAGAGCTGGCGCCAACACCAGCTTATTGAAGCCAGGCGCTAATGGCTGGCGCCAGGCCTGGTTCCAGGCGCTGATTTCATAAATTCACGCGTTTTTGTTTTTATCATATCTTTTGATCCGGAAGTCCAAATAAGGCATATAATATGTCGTTGAAAAAGCTCTTAAAGTCTAATTTCCAACCCAATTAGAATAAGATTAAAATATTTTGTATATAAAAAGATATGAACAAAATATTGGAAGGGTATCAGTTTTGGATAAAGTTTCATGTCTCATTCATATCTTTTTCGTTATAACTCGGATTTAATATTATAATATATCATTGGAAAGATAATTTCAAGATCTATCCAACCATATAAAATTTGGATTAGTATTATGAGGCACGAAAATAAAATCTGAATATATTCCACTTCGTACAAAACAAGGATTCTTAAAAGGAGTAGTTTTATTCAATTTCAAACTCTTTAAAACATAATTATCAATCCTAACTCCATTAGGATTTAAAGGAACCTCCTAGAGTATTCTAAAAGACTATAATCAATCCTAATAGCTTTAGGAATGATAATTAATGATAGGACCTCCTCTAGATCATTGGGCCGCATATAAAAACCAAATCGGGCCCAGTTTAGTATTTTGGCCATAACTTCCTCGATATTCATCAGAATTGGGCTTATAATATATCGTCGGAAAGGTCTTTTCAAACCCCATCCAACTACACCATTATTGGATCCTTATCATGGACCAACCAAACTGGATTGACTATTTTATTAAAATAAGTTTTTAAAAACAGAGAGAAGAGAAAAGAATTAAAACTATCCGCAACACTAAACTTTCCACACTTTCACTTCATTCGATTATGATTCGACGTGAAAGGTACTCATCACCGGGTTTGGTTTTGGGGAGACACAAATGGGTGTCTACAGTGTCGAACTCTGTTATAATGGCGGTGCACTAGTGGAGAAGATGTGACAATAGTATGTTGTGGTGTAGAAGTAGCTGATATAGGTGTTATAAGGGGTGGCGGAGGGGAAGGGGGATGAATAGAAGGAGGAGGAGTACAAAGTGTAGGTGTTATAGTAGGAGCAGGAGTACGTAAGGGAGGGCACATAATAGGTGAAGGAGTACGAAGTGTAGGTCTCACAGTAGGAACAGGAGTGCGTAAGGGAGGCCGCACAATAGGAGAGGGTGCACGAAATGCAAGTGAAGTTTAACCACCATGATGAGGTGGTGGTCTGATCGGTTGAGTGTGCACAGAAGAAGAAGAAGAAGAAGAAGAAGAAGAAGATGACACTTGAGGTTGCTCAATAAGGCGTGAATGTCCAACCCTAGATAAGCTCTGGCCACAAAATGTAGTAAGACTTCGTATGGTCTCTATGGAAAAAGGTAAAGCCTTGTCTGCAGGCAAACCAGAAATGGTCTCTGTAGCTCTACATAGCCTCGTGTGCATTTCAGCAACTGCATGAGCCTACATTAAACATCCAATGTCAGTACAATGAATTAGACAATTAAACAATTACATTGAAATAAAAATGAAATGAAGTTCATACGAGTAAGAGGTCGGAGGTGGATGGCTGGTAATGATTCGGTGGACGAGACTGTGAAGGCGGAGTAGTAATAAGCCTGGTGATACGACGATACCAAGCTAGGTACTCTGTCATAACCGGTGACGAAGATTCGGTAAACGGATTACCCTGAACAACCAATGCCTCTCGTTGTCTCCATTCTTGCACATGTGTGGAATGTCGAGACTCCTAGTTACTCTGTCCCCTCCGATCCTTCTTGTGTAGAGCATCACCTGTGTCAAATCCTTGTGGGATCGATTGCTCTAACCCGAACTGACGCATGACTCTATCTGGTAAATATAACTCAACGACATCAAAGCAAATTAATGGGGATCGTGTACGCCAAATATGAGTATTAGAACGACAAATCTCTGGTAGTCGCTCCATCACAGCCTCGGTATATGGCTGCCAAACCATTTGTTTCACAACACATGATTGTTATTAGTAATAAATTGGCATAACTATAATACGTGAATTTTAACAAAAAAAGAGATATTGAACAACTTATTGTACCTGGTCCTCACGCTGATGGTCAAAAGCATCTCGATAATATGGAAGTCCAGATGTTGTATGTGCACACGAAAGGTGTACACGAAGCCAACTGTAAATTACATAATTAAATTACTTATTTATTAAATTCCATCTTTTAAAAAAAAAGTCAAACAATACACTACCTGCACGCAAGGGAGTCAACACCTCGCACATGTTGTGTCCCTAAAATGTCTCCCTCCTCTTGAAGGTCCTCCTGAGGTGGGTCACGAGCCCCCCGTATGTAGGGTCGGCCAATGCAAATGTGCTCCCACGACCACAACTGCACGAGGATGAGTGCACCCCCAATCTGACATGCTCCTCTATGACATGCTCGACACAACTAACGATACAAAAAAGCAAGAGTTGCACTCCCCCAACTGTAGGTCGAAGCTGTCTCCCAATCTTTGAGTAATGGGAGATAGTTGAGTGACACAGCGTCGCCACTCTTATCGGAGAAGAGGATGGATCCCATTAGAGCTAAAATGTAAGCTCGACTATATTGCTGAATCACCATGTCATCCGCTCCTTCTGGTACCACCGAGAAATGTCGTCTCAGCCACATTAACTTTAATTATGTTAGCATGTGTGAGGAAAAAATAATAATAAGGCATGAATAAATAATAAAATCATAAAAGTAATAAGCATGTATAACGCAATTCAACAATAACTAGGCAGCCTTACCCAGATGATCCAACACTACTAGTAACTGTGGGACATGTCTTTTTGTTATGTCCTTGTCGTCGACAAACACTACATGCCTTCTTGACAATATAGGGACGCTCATCCATTTCATTGCGAATTCTAGTTGAACTTCGACCTGGGCCTCTTTTTAGATCCGGATTAGCTAAAACTATTGGTCCATTATATGGGGTCCAATGACAAGGATCAGGAACAGGAAAGAAACATTTCGAGTATGAAAGTCTATATTCGGTTGTCTTGAAAGAAGAGTCAACAAACTCAAAATGTGAAAGGCTTCGTTGTCGATAAACTGCTAGTACATGAGAGCATGGAAACTTGTATATTTTCAACTTTTCACAAGTACAGGTCTTCCAAAACAAATTCACAGTATGAGTTTTCCCTCCTTTACCCGCCTTTCTACTCCCACGACCAGTAGCAACTTGATACAACCCTACGTCAAAATCATAACCTTCAACCCGATGATACATAGCTTTCTCCATGTTGGCCTCTATTGTCTTTGTTGCCTTCTCAGAAAACTCATGGCCATCATCAAGCCTCTTTTTACCCCTACTACGTCTAGTTTCGAAGTAGGAGTTAACTCGATGGAAGGTCATTTGTACTAAGGCGGTTATCGGTAGACATCGAGCCCCTTTCAAGACCCCGTTAAAAACTTCTGACATGTTAGTAGTTTTCACGCCAAATCTAAAACCACCATCATGGTGGATGGACCACTTATGGTATAGAATCTCCATCAAGTAACGAAAAGCCTCAACATTCAAGCCAGCGATTCTACCCATAAAGTAATCAAACTTATGTTTCTGCCTTGCATCGGCCGCTTTCCCAAAAAGGTTCTTCACAACAATAATTTTAAATTTGTTGTTCACATTGGAAGCTAAGTGTCGGGTGCAATATTTGTGGTACGCATAAGGCTGCTCCCAACCACTACCAACTTCTTCCATTGCTGCTAAGATCCCAGCATGCCTATCAAATATGACACAAAGCCCTTCCCTATCAATGACCCTAGCTCTAATACAAGCCATGAACCAAGACCAACTATCATTGTTTTCTCCTTCGACAACAGCAAATGCAATGGGAAATAGTTGAAAATTGGCATCAGTTCCCATAGCAATAAGTAGAGATCCTTTGAATTTTCCATATAAATGAGTCCCATCGATGGTGATGAGGGGCCTACAATGACGAAATCCTTCAATTGATGGCCTAAACGACCAAAAAACTCATTGGAAAAAATAAATCACTTGATTTGTAGTCAGTATTAGCTTCCACTCAACCACGGTCCCAGGATTTGATTCCCTCAATGCTTGCATGAACTTAGGCAACTCTTGATATGAACTCTCCCAATCCCCATAAATGACTTTTATTGCCTTTTCCTTTGCAAGCCATGCTCTCTTGTATGTTATCGAAAACTTAAACTTCTCTTTCAAAAGTTGCACTATTGTCTTGATTTTCAATGAAGGGTCAACACGAATGACATCTAAAAGAGAATTGCAAACAAAGTCAGAAGTAAGTAGTTTATGAGCCACCGAGTCAATGTCACCAACACAATTACTTGCATGAGGGTCGTTGTACCGAACAATTTTGAAAGTGGGAAGTGCTGGATCTTTTACTCCTCAAAGCCTCCACGAGCAACTACATTGCGGTTTCCTCTTACACTCAACAACATATTTCTCTGACTCTGACTCAACAACTCGAATTGTTTGATTTCTAGCAATTGAGTACGACTTCACAACATCCTTCAATTGCTGCAATGAGTTAAACTGTTGTCCAACCTCAAATTCTCCATCGGTATTGTATATCTCATTTCTCACCCAAGTCATCCAAGAGTTATTCAAAAGTGGATCAACTTGTGGCACTTCATTGAAATCTTGTGTGGGAGCACTTTCTTTGATCTCTTTATCACGAGCTTCTATTATATCTTCATCATCATCTTCGTCAGTATCATTCATCTCAACGTCTCCAAAAACATCAACATTGTTTGGGTCAAGAGAATCAAGAATGCCTTGTTGTTGTGTGCTTGTTGAGGCTCCAACGGTTGGTGATGATGTTGGAGACCTAATCTCCGAAAGATGTTCAGTGACATATTGATCGTCAACAAGCATTCTTGTGAATGACCCCATCCCCACACTTTGATAAGTAAGGGGAATAAGTTTCTCCATGCTATAAGAGGAATCCATTTCAAGAGAGGAACCAATATCAGTTTGCACAACTGATTGCTTTGGAACTTGTTCAATGTACAATTGCATTGCAACAGAAGATGTTTGAGTCATAGCAATCCACATAGCTTTAATAGCATTATCGTCATTCAAAGGAATTGCGACATATGCCCCACTCATAGGATACCTCATAACCACCTTCAACTCCACAAATCTAGGATCAATACTCAACTCCTCATATACCTTGGTCAAAACTTGTGAATATGTCATCTCTGGATTAACAAAAATAAATTTTTGATTTCCTCCTCTATAAGCTACATCACCTTCTTTCTGAATAATTTCCCCACTCCAATAGCAATAAAGAGGATAGTTTTTTGGTACCTCCATATTTTGTTCTAGATAACAACGGAATTATTCAAAGGCATTAGTTTTGCAATGTAATATTTGATAACAACATAATTAGTACAATTATTCTAAATATAAATAATAAACAATTTAACTTGGGATTTCTTATTAAACACTATTAAAATTGCAGCGGAAGAGAATTTGGAACTTTCTACTCTACCATTTCCCACTTTTGTCATTACAGTACAATAAGGAATTATATCTACTAGAGCATTATGTATCCCTTTCATGAATTAGTTCATAAAACATTGCTTTAAGCCTTTAACCTTCTTTGCTCCATGTCTATTTTGTGCTAACATAAACTCCATCCAGACTATTAGCTTAGCATACACTTTAGAATTGACAAGCCACAAAACTAACTCATCTCAAATCAACAACTACTTTTTTTTAGAGAAAAGGAGACTTATATTAATACTAAATCATCCACCACAAGTTTGATAGTGCTGCTATAGCAGCTACAACAAAACCAAATAACTAGTTCACCAAGGAAAAACACATAGTTCAAATCAACAACTACAACTTACAGGTTTGTTTTCTTCTTCCATAAAGTGACTAAAAACAACAATAGAATATGAAACAAACAAAAGTCAATGGTCCCAACAAATTAAAACAATATGATATTATATAGGTACAAAAGTATGTATTTAAGTAGTATGCATATGGTCCCATGTTGTAATTGATAGAGGTTGCTAGTATACATACTCTAACAATGATTAATATTAAATTAACAACACTAATCTACAAATAAGAACACCCAACCCAAGACTAATTCAAACTATTATTCCCCATTAATCACAATACCCATTGCGTTTTTCTAACATCAATGCTACCTCAATTGAAAAAGAAAACAGTAGCAGCAAAAAAGTTCAATAATTTCTAACTTCAACACTAAAACTACCCAAAGTAATCACAAATTGTCAAACACTATGAATATAGCATAGATTAACAATAAAACAACAAATAAGTTTGATAATTGAATTAAAATAAAATTAAAGCATTCAAAGTAATTCAACTGCCTAAATTGTAACACCCCAATAATTCTCCCTCTTCCAAACCACTTACTTTAAATAAAAATAGAGGAGAACCATTGGCATGTTACCGCCACGTGTTAAAACGTTAAGGCTTTATCAAAGTATTGCAGCGGAAATCCAATTAAATATTAAAATAATATAATTTAGAAAACCAATAAGTCAAAGCTTACAAATTGGAACCATAAAGGCCCTTATTAAAACCAAACCAATATTCAAAATCCCAAAACATAATTAAAATAGTAAAACATAAATAAGTTCAACACAAAGAACGAATACTCTCAATCACACCAATCCCTTGACAATGCGTATGCCAAATCCCCGAACTTCACATCATCAAGCTAACCTGTGCAATACTGCTCTCCAATAATACAAGTGTAATAATTGGATCATCACAGGGTCATTGAAAGGCAAAGGCCATGACCAAAAGAAAACACACAAAAGCACGCAATCAGCAAAGCTGAGTACATACAAGCTACAACGTACCAAACCTAGCATGCTCAACCAATTAAAGTAAATAAACATACAACACGAATTCATTAATAAAGACTCCACACTTAAACAATTCAATCGACTAAACATACTTGCTAATCAATTCCAAACACTTGACTCTTTATATTTAATTTAATTAATTTAATTTGGAGTAAGCAATAGACGAGGTTGTCCAATACACCAAATCATTTTGGTCCCAAATGACCATTTAAAATAAAAGTTTAGCGCAATGCAAGAATGGGTGCGACTCCATTCTCACAAAGTTAGTCTAGGATCCCATCTAAATTTCATTATAAAATAAAATGTAAATACAAAAAGAAAAGAGGACATGTTGATCAAACAAGCTTCGGAAAGCCACGGGCTACCACCGTGTACCCCAACCCATAATTGTCAATACTCCAGAAGTGCACGCTTTCCAGAGTTTTATTGCTCATCCATGTTTCACTTTACGTGATTACAATTTTAATTGATAGCCGACTCAATCAAATAGGCCATACATAAAAACCATACATCAATTTACTTTTAATCTTATTTAGAACAAGGGTGATCACATCACAAATTGACTTTTAATTTCATTAAACTTCCAAATTATCCAAATTGTTGAACATAGTCAACTCATCTAGCCATTTCGGCTTAATCCACCTTTACTCAACATACTAACAATTCATGATTGAGTAATAAAATAAATAACAACCTTGTGGAATAATTAATAAATTCACTCCACTTAAACCATTCAATTTCAATCCTTTAATAATTCAAATGTGGTTAACAAACCGATCTAATAAAAATATGCTTGTATCAACATTCCATACAAACAATTAATCCAATATAATTCAACATGTTTGCATCCATAATTCCATACAAACATAATCCATTCACCAAAGCATGTCTCATAAACATAAGCACGTGAATTAATTAAATGTATAACCAAACAATTTTCATCCAAGTGTTCTCTAATCATGAAACTAAGTTCTTTTCTTTGGTACCTAAACATGATACTACTTACAACGAAGTAGACATGTACATACCTCGTATAAACAATTCTTTGTGCCACTTTTAATCACTTAAAAGTCTCCTAAGGAATAATCACCTCCTAGAAAACAACCAACAACAATAAATTAATACTTAACCAAATTTCCAGCATTATAATTTAGATTAAAACTCCTTAAAACTTCATTAAAACATGTTTTTATGCTTAATTAATCAACAGAAATACAATAGGAATAAAAGTCCCAAAGTAATTGCTCATTAGAGCCCTAAAATCCCAATTTAAATAAGGAAATTTTCACATTTGCTACCACTAAAAACACCACGCTTCATATTTGCTACCTGTTAAAAAAAAAAATTATTTTACTACCACCTAAAACAGAGTTTGTTAAAAATCACTACCACATGCCTTATTCTGTTACTATTTCCATTAGTGGGCCCACTCCACCGTTTAGCCACCCCTCCAACCACCTTGCAGCCACCCCTCCTCGTCACTGCCACCCCTCACCTCCCCCCTCCCCCTGCCGGCGCCGGCGTCGTCGCGCGAACCCACCCCCTCCCTTTCCCCTACCCTATGCGCATCCAATCCCTCTTTCCCTTTCCCGTTCTTGAGCTCCGACCCCCACCCCGAACGAAAACCACCCCCTTTCCCCTTCCCTCCACCGGAAATCGACCCCCCTCCCCTGATTCCCCCACCGAAATCGACCCCCTCCCCTTCCCTTACCCTTTTCGGCCGTCCCTAACCCTAAACCACCACCCCAAAACCACCCTAAACGAATTTTAGGGTTTCGATTGTGGTGGTTTTGGGGTGGTTTTCGTTTAGGGTGGTTTTAGGGTGGTGGTTTAGGGTTAAAGACGGCCGAAAAGGGTAGGGAAAGGGGAGGGGGTCGATTTCGGTGGGGGAATCAGGGGAGGGGGGCCGATTTCCGGTGGAGGGAAGGGGAAAGGGGGTTACGGTGGTGTTGGTATGGGTTTTGGGGGTTACGGTGGCGGTGGTGGTCTGGGTTTGGGGGTGTCGGCTTAGGATTAGGATTGTCAATTTTGGGTGGGGAAAAGGGAGGGGGTGAGGCCGCCGGCGCCGACCGAATCTTTAGGCAACGGCCGCCGGAAGGGGGGAGGGGGAGGGGGAGGGTGGCAGATTAGGGGAGGGAAAGGGTGGCAGATTAGGGGAGGGGTGGGTGGGGTTGCTGGTTTTCTTTATTTTTTTTTAAATTTTTCTTTTTTTTTTAAAATAAACTTAACGGAAATCCTAACGGATTCCGTTAAGTGGTAGTGATTTTTAACAAAGTCTGATTTAGTTGGTAGCAAAGTGAAAAAAAAAAATTAAATAGGTAGCAAATCTGAAGCGAGGCGTTTTAGGTGGTAGCAAATGTGAAAATTTCCTTTAAATAAATTGAAACCCTAGGTTTTAAAATTATAAAATCTGAAAATTATAACAACAATTATAATCTGAAATTATTAGTTTAAAACATCAAAAACATGATTTTGATACTAAAAATATAAACTTTATACTATAAAATCAAAACCCAAAACTAATTAATCAAACATTAAGCATAAATGCAACAAAGGAGAGAGAGAAGGGCAACCACGAGGGTGGTTGGGCTGGTGAGCCGGCAGGGTCGCCGGCGGCGGCGGCAGGGGAGGTGTGCCGGAGGTGGCTGGGCGGCAGTGGTGGTGAGTGAGGATTTCCTCACGTGAAGGAGGAGGAAAGGGAAAGAAGAAAAAAAAAGAAAAAAAAAGAAAAAGGAAAAAGAAGGGAAAAAAATAAAAGAAAAGAAAAATAAAGGGAAAATAAGATAAATAAAATAAAGAGAAGAGAGTTTACTAACCTTTTTTGTGTGTTGAAAAATTTGGGGATGTATGGGGTATTTATAGGAGAAAGAGTGGTGTAGGGTAAGTAGTAAAATTGGGCCTCAAAATTAATGGGTCAATTAAGTAAGTAAAGTGGGTTAGGTTTATTTGTTGGACATAAATTATAGAATGAAGGTATGTATAAAAATTTGTACCAAAATAATTTTCAACCCAAAATTAAAAATTGAAACTTTTGAAATTAAATTCCGGAAAAAATACAAATAAATATTATAAATAATATATAATTTCATTTATAATATATTTTAAAAATATATGAACATACCAAAATTCAGAAACAATTGAGCGTTGAAGACAATTCAGAATCTGAAACTCGGCGTCGGCGATTTGCGGTGGTGGGTACGGAGATGGCGGCGGTAGCGGCGGTTGGGGTCCCTCTGAACTTCAATTCGCAAATGGTTGTTCAAACTTTTATTTTTTTTATTTTTCGTGACTTGTTTACTGGAGGAAGTAAAAAGTAATTTTGTTTAACAAAACTTACTTTATACAAAACCGCTACTTCAAGTAGCGGTTTATTGATAAAATAACTGCTACTTCAAGTAGCGGTTTTAAATTAGAAACCGCTACTTCAAGTAGCGGTTTTCTAATAAACCCGTAAAAAAAATT